CCTCCAGTACCTTCCCTGGGGCTGGGAGGAGAGATAAGGGACGGTAGTTCTTGTAAACACTTTATCGCCAGATCTTTAAAGTGGCTGGCAGTGTGGGAGGTTGTGTTATACAGTACAAGCCGAATGTGAAGCCGTGAGTTGCACGCTTCTACTGTACAAAGTTTCCTACTTGTCTGTGTCCTGCTGTTAAATGCAGTTGTTTTCTCTTTGGCGGCTCTGATCGCTTAAATGACTTTCTTTAGAATACACAACAATGCTTCACCGAGAGACTAGCATCATGTTGCCCGTTATCATCGCCTTATTGCCCGCCGTGTTATACAGCTTTGAGGTTGATTTAGTTTTTTAATGATCTGATTTTGGGGGTAAATATTTATAACAACAAACACAAGAAGCAACAGAAATTACAGCACATTACACTTGGGTCACCAGAGGTCTGTACATGATCACAAGTTGAATTTCTTAAACCATCTGTAAAAAAGAGAGTATTGTCGTCAAAGTAATTACTTTATTTTATGGTGACTGGCTAATGATCTCAGGTTTCGCTCCATATAACTCCATCAGAAGTGATAACCGACAAAATATAATCTAACAGTGGCAGAGGCGGCAGTTGAAAATAGCGAGCGAGTCTGGCACTGAATTTAGAAGGTCAAGGTCGAGATAACAGATCAGTTCAGTTATCTTATTAAGAAGGTTCCTGGTAAATGCTCTCCTTCAACACCTCAACTTTTATATCATCTTTTACACATTTGTTATAATTATTCTTGGCAGAGTGCGATACAACCACTGTGATGTGGCGCACTCTTAGGGTGTCTCGAATAATTGAGGATATTATATAAATCTTCAAAATTACTTGTGAATTGGGTCTCACAGAACCCAAGTACATCAAATATGAGGCCAATTTTCGTCACTCTCGGGCGGGTGTACAGTATGCGGGTATCTACAGCAGGTGGGGGAGGACAATACCGATAACAGGCTCAGATATGAGAAGAGAGACACCAAGACATTTGAGGTGAACTCCCTGAGAGGAAAATGACAGTTCCATTCGGCGATGTCCCCGATTTCCTGTTGTACTAGCACTGGACAGACCGCCCAGGGGATAAGTGGCGAAAATAATAAATAAAGGTTTGAGAATCAATATTTGAGCACAGACCACAGAGCGTCCATCGTCACCCATGAAGGAAGACTGATGATAAATATTGAAAGACTGAGAAAAACGAAGGCCAGGGTGTGATACAGCGGTGATGGGGTCACACACGGCCTGATTGCTGGGTGGGGCTGATCACTCTTCCTGGATGTACTGTGCTTAGCTGACACCGATGTGTTTCAGAACATTCAGTAGGATGATAATGACCAAGTTGGCCTTACGCTGAGTGCGGGCCGAGCCAAGCCAGGGTGAAGGGCGGGAGTTTACCTTGGTGAAGTGACAGTAGCGTGAGGGAGCGGGAACACGAGCGTCCTTCACATGGAATTCACAGCTCAAAGTCATAAATTAACCTTACTTCCTGGCTTACATATACCGACCCATATGCTGCTGGTGGTGGTGGTGGTGGTGGTAGTGGTAGTGGTAGTGGTAGCAGTGGTAGTGGTGGTGGTGGTGGTAGCAGTGGTGGTGGTGGTGGTGGTGGTGGTGGTGGTTCATGCCCGTGTTAATGTCAATACGTATTGTAAGAGGTTGGTGTCCTTCACGATACTCTCACCGGTGTTAGGGCGGCCGGCAGGTGACCTTAACACAGTGACGTGAAGGCTCGGTCACCTACTTATTCAGTTAATAGGAAGACATTAAGAACAACTATAATAGAGAGAGAGAGAGAGAGAGAGAGAGAGAGAGAGAGAGAGAGAGAGAGAGAGAGAGAGAGAGATGTATGCCGCAGGATAGTGTTGCCCTCGCCCAGGATGGAGTTGTGTTAGTTTGCTGGTGTTGTGTTAAACTTAAGACCTGTAAACAAGTTTTATGTGTTTCTTTGGCATATAATTATGACGTTTTTTTCTGTGAATGATTTTTTCCCATTTGATCTTTGGCAATACCTAAACAAATATTATATCTTTATTGTCTTCTACCATTTGTGAGTGTTGTGGTGGTTACATCTTTGTGAGATTATCAAAATACATTAATCTTCTGCACACGGAAGTTATACTATTGATCACCATTACTTTGATGTGCACTTCACACGGGTTATTATGTCACTAAAACACGACACAGACAAACAGACAGACACGAAGAGATCCAACTTAATGATTGAACAAGATTACAGATTAAAATTTAGTCTTCCTAACCGTGTGTGAATATTTTACGTTATAACACCCTCAGCCACTCAAAAGGTCATATTCACACAATTATTCGTTTACCGCGAGAAAAGGAAACCGGCACCTAGGGACTCCCCCTCAGAGTAGATACGTATGAGCAGAGCGTCCCGAGGGGTTGGGATATCCACACCACGCATATGGGGTCAGCTCTGGGTTTACGATTTGCACTATTAGGTAGTTATACACAGGAGAAGTTAATAATGTGTCTATAAATGTGTATATGTTAATAATGTGTCTATATATGTACAGGAGAAGTTAATAATGTTTCTTTATATGTGTATGTTAATAATGTGTCTATATATGTACAGGAGAAGTTAATAATGTTTCTTTATATGTGTATGTTAATAATGTGTCTATATATGTACAGGAGAAGTTAATAGTGTGTTCATGTGTGTACAGACGTCATGAGTGTCTATGTGTACAGAATAATGTACAGTATTACAAACATAGACGGGGCATTCTCAATGTACGCCTCTTCCCTCGCCACTCCAATAACAAAATATGAGTAAAAAAATGCCAAACCATATTGGTCACAAATGTGTCCAAATTTTATCAAGAACACAATAAAATAAAAAGAGCAAGTACTGAGTACACCCTTTACTCATATCCTCGGAGCACATGGCTCACGCGGCACTTGGAAACCGAATGGGTGAGAGGTCGGTGTAGTCATGTGACCTAAAGTGCTGTTTAGTGACCAGCAGTAATAAAGATCGCAGGTACACTGCCACTGCTGGTCTAGACCTACCACAGTTGACAAGGTTATCAGAGCTAAGAGTTAAGAATGTTCTGCTCAACTCCGGCGACAGACACACACTTCCCTCTCGTGCTGCTGTACGGTTTTCAGAAATTCAGATTGTATGGTCATGTTTATATACACGCTGCCAGCACTTCAGTCCTCGCCTTCCAACACATTTATCACAACCAAATACGAAAAATATAACACAAGTTTTCTGTTCTATTCAGGAGAAAGAAAGAACACAAATATTAAGAGGGTTTATCATCTATCTACCTGGTCACCATGACACCACGGAAAGTTGTCGATTGTCTCTCCACTATTATCATACCATTGTAATGTGTCCATTGTTGCTTCGGTATTGTTGGCAATTGTTGTCATCATCCTCCAGGAACCTTCCCACAGCAGCACGTGAGAGGAGGGAGTCGTAACTGGGGAAGATGAAGGTAGAGGAGCACACTGTGCGGGAGTGTTATGCTCCCTGGTATCTCTAGTGATCCTCTTGTGATGCTCCTTTGCTTGTTAACGGAGGCGACGTGAACATTGTCCCTCCATGGTGGTGTCTCTGTAGGTGGTCCACCATGATAACACCTTAATAGTTCGGCAACGCAGACAGGTCGTAGGTAGTAGGCAGCTATCAAACAGGGAGGTACTACCGCCTGGGAAGATATTGGAAGCATAATGTGTTGTCTAATGGTAGACCCTGCTGTCATATGGCATCACGAAAATTGTGACCAAGTCCCATTTACAAACAATTGCAGGACTTCAATTGTTTCTCTTACTTTGACAACACAACATACATATATTGTTTCTCACAATTGATTTTTTTTCAATTTTGTATTTCTTTATGGTTCTTTATTATTATTATTACAGTATTGTTATTTTTATTATTATCATAATTATTTAATTATTTAATTTTTAATTTTGTATTTTTATCAAAATTTTTACTTACTATGAATTATTACTACTATTATTATTATTACTATTATTACATTCCCCCAGGCCCTGGTGTGGGTCAGTGACCTGTGCCCAGGTGGGCTAATCCCCGTAAAAAAATAAATAAATAAAAAGAATCACCTTTCCTCTCAAATCAACCATTATAAACCTTTTTTTCTTCTTTCAATAAGTGGGGGGAAACAGACAGCACCGTACGCAATTCCTCCGCTGATCACTCAAAAAAAAAATACAACTTAATTCACACGCTCACGCACACATGCACACCAATGCACATACACGCGCGCGCGAGCACATATGCGCACACTGAAAGGAATATTAACACAAAAGAGAATAATAATTGTTACATATTAACAGATAAATTATGATATAGGTTTTTCTCTATAATGTCGACACAGACCACAGCCAGGTCACTGAGATAAAAACGCCGGAATTTCCAGAGAGAACGAAAAGCCTCAAGACGTGTTGTCACACACTACACACGTCACTAACGTTTGAGAAACCCGGCAACTGAGTGCCATTTACGAACAAACATTGCTTATCCACACACTTCCGGTGAAACAAACGGAGAAACAAATGAGTGTTAGGACGAGAGGAGAAGCAGAGTGTGGGAGAATAGCTAGGATGTGACGTACGCGGAGGAGAGGCTGTGAGATGGGGATCCTGAGGGAGTTCACCACAATCTGAGGCGTCCGTCCTGCTGTTTGTTTCACCTGCCGTCTTCCTCTAATTAATTGTATGGTTAATATCTTTTCTTTATTATTATCAGTAGCAGTAGTAGTATCATCATCATTTTCGTGACCATAACTTTCAACACCATAATAAAAATCACCGTTATGACCTACAACCACTGTATGTAATTATGTTTCTCCAAATATACATTCAGTGCCACAGAAAGGGCAAGGAAGTGAATGAAAATACGTTTGGCAACAGAAACGTATTGCAGTACGATCATTTGTACGGCAACGTAGTGCAGTAGCCGCACGAGCAACACATACCTGAGGGGATTACCCGAGTAAATTTGATAGCTGTGCCCCCATCAGTACTATAGATAGATAGATAGATAGATGTTCAGCAAAGACGCCATACTGGTACGAGTTAGCGTTTAATGGCCTGTTTACCATTGTTTATATGCTGGCAATGTTGTTGTAAATATTGAAGTTACGTGAGCTTGTACGACGACTTGCTAAATATATGCCTTGTTGGCCTGCTTACACCGCAGTCTCTCTCTAACCAACCATGCAGTGGTGTATTCAACGTTATCTACAAGGATGTAAAATTTCAGAATCTCTTCCAAACTTTCAACACTTGACATAACATACTGTACAGTATGTAGCAGTGGCGTCACCTACAGGGTTTGGGAGACTTAACGTATGAATGACTCATCAGAGGATGCCACCTACAGCACAAGGCCACACTGATATAAAGCCAGGAGGCGAAGTGATTCTCATTCAGTCTCAACTGAGCAGGAGATAAGTGCAGTGCATCTCACCAATACCACACAGTGTTGTGACGCTACACCACACAGTGTTGTGACGCTACACCACACAGTGTTGTGACGCTACACCACACAGTGTTGTGACGCTACACCACACAGTGTTGTGACGCTACACCATCCAGTGTTGTGACGCTACACCACACAGTGTTGTGACGCTACACCACACAGTATTGTGACGCTACACCACACAGTGTTGTGACGCTCCACTACCCAGTGCTGTGACGCTCCACTACCCAGTGTTGTGACGCTACACCACACAGTGTTGTGACGCTACACCACACAGTGTTGTGACGCTACACCACCCAGTGTTGTGACGCTACACCACACAGTGTTGTGACGCTACACCACACAGTGTTGTGACGCTACACCACACAGTGTTGTGACGCTACACCAAACAGCGTTGTGACGCTCCACCACATAGTGTTGTGACGCTCCACCACTTGTTCCTCTACACCTACGCCATATCTCCGTGAGTACTATTGAATCAAATTTATTGGGGGTGAATCTTGCATTTTTCGTAAGATATAGATTTAGATGAGAAGGATTTATTATTTGCAGTGTACAGGTGACACCTTATAGAGAGGTGTGTGTGTGTGTGTGTGTGTGTGTGTGACTTAATATAAATAACAGTAAGAAAATTTGATCAAAACGACAAACTGAAGAACATGTAACAACGAAGTGATGAACAGCCTTAAGGAAAACTAATATGGAAACTTCTTAAGGTGTTGAAAGTGGTGAGTGGTGGCAGGTATTTGGTGGTTGACACGTGGCTGTGTAATGTAACCGGGAAGGTGTGTAGTCAGGAAGTGTATGGATAGTTGATAGTTTAACATAAATGGTGCTGTTAGTGCCTTCATGGATCCCTGTTAGTGTGGACTGTTCAACCTTGCCTGTGCTCTCCACCTCTGGTCTGTGTCATTGTAGCCTTGAGTTATTGTTTTATACGTTAAAGAATATTCATAAATGTTGAATGTTTGGTCGAGGAGTGAAGGTGTACATAATTTTTGCTAAACATCACTCTGTAAACTCTTCACAGTGTGTCGTTTGTGACGCCCGACGTAGTATTACTTAGAAATTTTACAATGTTTTTTGTTGTTTTTTATTATCTACAGGAATCTACGAAGACTACACAGTTGGCGCCACTGTTCACAAACACACGTGTCCTCCAGAAGAAAGTCATTAAAGTCGCTAGCTATGGAACACAAGCGGTAAGTTGTGATGGCGTTGGTCTGGGTGGTATTCTGAACCGTCTTTTACTGCCATCATTTACTAAGCACCGGCGTCTTACTGACGGACACACAAACACTCACTCAAGAGTTCACAGGACTTCACTCTAACACTTCCCATTTCATAAATACCAACAGACACCATATTTAACCTAAATAAACCGTAAATTTTATGACAAAGCTACATTATACTCAGTACAGTGACTAGATGCAGACAGACATATAGTGCAGTATAGGATTTATATAGACAGACATATAGTGCAGTATAAGGATGGGGGACTTTGGTAAGTGTTATGTTGTACAGTGATTAAGGGTTTGTTTATTGTTAAAGAGGAAAGAACAACACCAACCATCCTTCACATGACTTTGTTCTTGTAGTGTTCACAAGTTATTCGTTAAGACATTTTTTTTTTTACATTTCGAAAGACATGAATGAAGGAAAGTCGAACCTTCTTTCACTTCAAATTCTACGCGAACTTTTTCCTACTTTTTTCTATCTCTATTGACTTTATTTTTAATGAACGTTCTTGAATACAAACTACGTGCCTATATTTTCATTAAACAAGTTGGCTCAAACGAAATTAAGAAACTAAAAACCGTAGGTAACGCTTTAGTCATTTAGTAGAACTCCAAAATATATAACAAAATATAGTCATGGTCTTGTATTGATAATTATCAGTAATTAAGAAGACCCATTTAACCGGAGCTGTTGTAAGCAAGGTGACAAACCACACACGCGGCCAGGAAGCGCTGTGTGTGTTGAACAAATGAGCTCCTCGGTGCCCGCAGCTTTAATCGTGTGAAAAAAACTTCGGGTATGACGTGACAAATGTTGTAAAAGTCAGTAATTGGGAAGAGTTTACCTGGTGAGACAAGAGTCAGTGGATGTCACCTGGACTTGTGTACTCTGCCCATACAATCGTGTATTACCTGTTCTAACCGGCTAGTATGACTCGAATAATTCAGACTTGGTGAACGAATGTCGGAAATAAATGTCAATCAGTTTGGAACTACAGTAACACACTTAACCCGTTGAGTGGCTGTTCATCTCACGTTAACCAGAATGAACGACCTGCAGTAAGTGCGAAACACCTCTTTAAAGGGTTAACTGTTTGGGTTAGTCTGTGCTAGCCTCGAAACAGGTCTCTTCGTCCATTTTACATACGGCGAGAGATTAATTACTGTATTTGTATGCCTAATTACTTTATTTTACTATTCGCTTGTACGGTCATATAATAGTAGTGTGTGGGTGGCAGCGAGCTTACCACTCACTGTCACCAGTTTGTTCCGAGTTGGATGTGAGAATACGTCGTGTTGTACTGAACCCATGGTGGATGGCCCTCACTTCACCTCAGTAAGTCATAACTAATAAAGCTGCCTTGCATATAAGAAAACAAAGTTATGCACTATGCCTTTGGGTGATTTACTTGTGTGCCGAGTTCATCACAGCATCTCTCTGTGTGGTATTTTGGCAACTCGATTACCTTCTGATGGATCCCATTGTAATTTTTCGGTCCCCTCTCTAACGAGGCGTTGGTCCCTGTGCCATAGGTGTTGATTTATTTACTAGAAATCAAATATTAGATACTCTATTTTTATTTCAGACGTCGTTGTTTGTCCTTGATGGCGCAGATGCTAATAAGATGGCAAAATGTGGCGTTGTCTTCGCGGCCAAGCAACCTCCTATATACCCTGGGAGTATGCACACTAATCTTTTCCGTGTAAGTGTATCACAAAGTATCATGCCATTCAAAAAATAAAATACTGGAAGCTGTAGAAATTATTGCTCGCGAGCTAGATGTCCTAGATAGGTGTTGCTTGAGATTCACTCCGTCAGGCACATGAACCAAGTTAAAAATGTCAGTAAGTGAAATTTCTTCTCCACTGCCAAAAAGCTGAATTGTTCGTCTTTGAAAATGAAGCTAACTTAGTTACGGATGCTGTAACACACTTCAGAACAATCTTAGCTGAAGTTATATAATCGTCATGAGAAAACCAAGGAGATTGCTGATGCCTTTGTGATTCTGAATAATTTAACACTTTCACTACGGGATATAATTTTTAATATTTTGTTTGGCTAACCTGAGACGATTTTATTCAGCACAGAGAGACCATCGTATACAATGGGTTAACAGAACTAATTCTATAGTACAGGGAACCATTTTGGTGTTTTGGGGAAACAGAAAGTCAATTGTGTTAATGTTAACAATGCCAAAGGCAGCTATCATGACATTTTGGGAAATAATCCGTGGAGTCAGTTGACCTCACATCACCACCTGGAGGAATAACAGGATATTGGACTTACCTTGCAACACCTCAGTGCGTGTCGCACTAAGATGCTGAGGTGTCGTTCAAATTACAGGTGCGGGTGTCTCTACTCACGAGCGGTCAGGCGAGTTTTCGGAAAGTCGGAAAGTTATGAACGACTTTCTGACCGGTGAAGCCTCGCGTTCACTGATGACAGATTCCAGCATCGCTACTTCTGCAGCTTTTAAGAATCCGGATACCGAGGACAAATGCGTGAATGACGTGGTTACTACACGCACTCACTTCAGTTTGACTTAACTGAAAATTACTGGTTGTGTTCAGTGTTCAGTCATCTTTTGTTCCAAACACTTCCATTCCAACATCCGCCAAACTTTCACGGGGTGGCTGTTATGCTCACAGTGGCGTAGTGAGCAAACCTTTTCATTCAGTCAGCAGGATAATCACTATTTTTTTTACGACCTACGCTGCCTAATGTTAGTACAGAAGGGAACAGGAGTACCGGAAGAAACTGAGCTGTTTGATGGAGTTGCACAGAAAAATATCCTAAAATTTGACTTGGTCCCGGGATCAAACCCGGAACACGGTTTTGAGAGCCATGTGTGTTACCGCTGCACTCATGGCTGACTGGTCAGCTATAAACTTATCACTGACCAAAGTCCAGGAAGTGAACCTCACCATCATGAACGTGCCATTGACAGAGGAAGGTCATAATACCTTTCAAAGAATTGCCATGACTAGATTTTGTTTGGGACGTGGGAGAAGAAAGCGTTTTTGTCCTTGAAGCTTTGCTTTACCTCAAATAATGTGCAGTGTTCCATAGCCATAAGCTGAGGAACAAATGGTGTACTTACTGTACCAAGCATAAGGTACTTACTATGCCTGTGGTTGTTTTTGTCTGTTGTCTTTAATCCGTGTCTGTGTTGGGTGTCAGCGGGTGTTATGTCAACATGATCCATCACTTATTAAGACTAAATCCAATTGATTGCTGAACATCAATTTACGCCTTTCAATGTTGTACTGTAATACCAAATGTAAAATGGGGGAAAACATTTAAGATATACGTGAGATAAAATTTAAATAATTTTAATATAAATTTTAGCAATAAGTTGAGTACCTTTGGTAATCATTATGGATACCTGGTGAAAGGTGCCCACCTGACCAGACTCTCCAGGTACCTGTGCTCGTGAACCAACAGGTCATTGTCATTCTATATAATTAGGTAGTTCAGCTGCACCCAATAGTAGCTTTATTACAAAACTCATGCATAAAGTAATTTTGTCCTGCAATTGACTAATATGATATTGTTTTATTTTCAGTGAAGCGAGTCCGCTCTCCTGGGATGAGCTCTCATCCGTCAGCCGGGAGGCGACAGGGGCGTACAAACGTGATTTCGGTAAGATTTTTTTCTAAATTTTTAAGTCATTCTGAAGCCGTACTTTATTTTCTTTGAGGAATTAATTAAAACATCTCCTTAATGAAAAAATAATAATTCAAGTAATGTAATAAAATATATCTGACAATGATTTAGAAAACTGTTTAAATAAAATGTTTTCGTAAGAAGAGAAGAATGTGTAATGTTTCTTTTAGAATATTCCATAAGTAGTCATATAGAACAAATTAAAATCATAATTATAGTATTTCACGCTAATATCTATTTTATTGAAAACAAATCGAGGATTAGGCGTTTGAAGATATTATTTTAGGAAAGCGAAACTTGACACGATACTGTGTGTTTGTGTGAACCCAAGGCCATAAGAATTAGTGTCATGCCACTGAATTTACGTGTACAGAATTTTTTTGGGAGATGCACATGTCTCAACAAACCTGAACTAACTGTGAACTAACAGGTTACCATCAACAGGTGGAGACTGTTCAAGACTATCGCTTGTGTCACGTGAAGAATGGGAAGCCCGCGAGCCTGTGCTCATCACCCCGTTAAACCTACCAATGAGAGGGGTGTTTGTCCACCACTCGGCCATGGCCTTCTGTGAGACGACAGAGGAATGTGTGGCCGAGTTGAAGATAATACAAGCTCTACATATGGACACTAATTGTAACTTTACTTAACTTATGTTGTTTCTAAATTTAATAATGAAATCTTTCAGTTAACACTATTGACAGTTCCAGCTCTTCTGGGAGTCGCTGTGTTAGCCTCAGTCTCCTTATATAGTATGTAAAAAAAAAGTAAAACAAATTCATTCATACAATTATTTTGTGTGTTGGTCATATAGATGGCAGCCTGATAGACAAATAAATTTTATTGGGAATGCTTTAATTTTTCTAAAAAAGAAGTGGTGGGGGGGTGTATTGGTCGTCAATGGTCAACCCACACCAGCTAAAATAAGTTTCCTTGCTGAGGAAATCCAGAGAAACAAAAAAAAAGTAAAAAGTAGACTTAAGGGTACCAGAGACCGCAACTATTGGATCATAAGGCTATGGGATTCAAGCTGTCCCTTCACAATTAGTATTTGGGGAGGAAGTAAACGAGTTTATAGTATTCCAAGATATAACTAATTAATCTTAGGAGTTTACTTCAGGGTTTCATAGGTGACCCCATAAATTTAGGGCGCATGCTGGCAAGCATGTGTGTAAAGAACTCGTTTGTAATGTTACTTTTACAAAAATGAGTATCATTACAACTTTAAATCTATGAACTAACCCTTAGAAATTTTCAAAAAAATATTGAGTTGAGGGGTTCAAAGTTGGCATGACTTAATTTTGCGTCCATATATAATATTAGTCTATAAACGTCTGCTTTACACACACACACACACACACAGTAACATTCCATTTGGGAACACCTAAAGTGACTCCTTAAAACTGCATTCAAATATAAAATTCAAATTTGGGTTGTCGACATAGGATGACAACAATCAGTCAATTGAGTTTGTAAAAGTTTCCAAAACAAGTGTGATATAATGGACGGAATCTCGTGAAGCAGAGTCAACACAGCACAACAACCTCACCAGTCTCATTGTTTTTCCAGGTTGGGATGATATCGGCTACAGCTTTCTGGTTGGTGAAAATGGTAAAGTGTACGAAGGCCGAGGCTGGGACAGACAAGGTGCTCACACCAAGTATTATAACCGAGCAAACTACGGCATCTGTGTGATGGGCAACTTCGAAGAAAGACTACCCAACGAAAAGGCACTCACGGCTCTGAAGGATATCATGGACTGCGGAGTGAAGGAGGTCAGTGTACGGTAGCTACGACCGCTATGCACCCCAGCTAACTTCGTCTCACCTAAACCACCTTAACCTAAACCTTAACTTGAATTAAAGTGGTTTATCTTTAGGTGAAATAACCTGGGGTGATCCCTGTACAGTCAATTAAAAAGTATCAACCACCCTGCCATGCATAACAATATGAAACATCAAGCGAAAACTGTAAATGCTTACCCGTGTTGGTTGTTACCGTTCATTTCTATTCCACCGACCATGGGGTGGTCGATACTTATTTTACTGACCTTACATATTTACAACTTTTCCTATACAGTGTACTGTACTGTATATCATTTGTTTTAGTATATTATGATTTTCTCCACATATTTACACTGTCAGCCACACTAGGTTGTACCCTGTTCTCTCCCCTCTATTTTACTTTCTCACATCTTTATCAATACAGTATGTACTCAAAATTATTTTACCTTTACTCACAGGGGAAACTAATAGAGGACTTTAAGATGTTCGGCCACAGAGATGCGAGAAATACCACTGCGTGTCCTGGACAGAAGCTGTATGAAAACCTACAGACATGGAGTATTTACGGGCATGACAAGAACATGCCCAAGTAAAGCCCAAGGTCTGAAGAATCTTGGTAAAGCTGAGCAACACCAGGCCTAATAATGTACATGCGGCCAAACATAAACCTTAAAAGTTTAAGAATGAAATCAATAGAAGTTGAAGCATGATACGTTTAAGTAAGACGTTTATTATGTTGGGAACCACGTGGTGACTTTTGTGTTGGCAGCCTTGTAATGACTTGTTGGTGGTCCTGTAATGACTTGTGTTAGTAGCCCTGTAATGTCTTGTGATGGCAGCCCTGTAATGACTTGTGTTGGCAGCCATGTGATGACTTGTATTGGCAGTCCTGTAATGACTTGTGTTGGCAGTCCTGTAATGACTTGTGTTGGCAGCCATGTGATGACTTGTGTTGGCAGCCATGTGATGACTTGTATTGGCAGTCCTGTAATGACTTGTGTTGGCAGCCCTGTATGACTCCACTCTGAGAATTTGTGACGGTTTTTTGACCAATCACACAATCATATAATGTGTGTGTGTGTGTGTTACACCACCGATAAATTCCATGTATGGATACAGTACAATACAGTATAAAGAAATAAACCTTGTTCAGGAGAACTTGTACAAGACTGTTGGAACATACTTATTTGATACAGGGTTGTATTGTATTACATTCCATTTTAAACTACATACAGTACCATTAAATGATACAGTATTATAATATAGATGGCTATACAGTATTATGATTAATATAAACAGTTGTTATGTGTTAATGTAACATATCAATCAAAAAAATATTTATTTATTTATTTATTCTTAGTGTAGTAAGTACAGCAATATAACTAAAAATGTGTTTGTCTTGTGTACATAGCGAGATTATGTTGTAAACTGCAAGAACTTTTTTTTTCTACTATTTATTGTAAATTTTGCAAGATTTTTTAGAAAATTTTTGTCATATTTTCTCTACTTCAAACATAACTCACTACATATTTTTCTTTTTTGTAAACCTCATGACAAACTAAACATAAGGGAAAATTTTTACATGCTAACATACTGTAAAACCTTAACAACAAATTGCCTCTCAGTTCACTATACAGTACTTGTTCGATGTTTACTGTTTATAAGCATGTTAGGATTATGTACAGTACAGTAGATCCTTTGCCATTTGCGAAGGATAGGTTCCAAGAAGTGGCGCAAATTGGCAAAATCGCGAATGACAACTTATACTACCTCTTTTAACTTATCTAATAATAAAACTTTCTTTGTCAAGGTCATCACTGATTTCTGCCTTTTACATTCCATTCCACTAGCATCACTAGCACTGGCACTAGGCAGTCTTTTAGGGGCCATTTCACACAGAAACACTAAAGTTTGGAGAGTGCAACAAGAGATGCTGTGCGGGGTGACTCGTTGTGCTGCGGGAAAAGGCTTGCAAACTAGCCACCATCTGCATAAACCGAATCGTTGAAATCACACACTCGTGAATGGCAAGGGTCTACTGTACTGTATTCAAATTGATGATAACTATGATATGTAGTTAAACATAAATTATCAATAAAAGTGATGTTTACAATCCTACTACAATGGTTTTATTAATTAATGAATGTATAAATGTACAGATACAGCCATAAATTGTACACGTCTACTATACAATACAGTAGTTTGTGAACTACAGCTACAGTGCATGGAGTTGTGACAGTTTCAGTTCAGAAGTTCAACAGATTACCATCACTGACTCACTGTAATAATATACATAATCTCTCTCTCCCTTTGCCTTTTTGTTTTCTAATTTTAGTTCAATAAGTTTTCCTTCTTTTGTCATCATAGTCACATTATCTTGATACCCACACCTGTGTTTGGCTCTGACCTTCTCTTAATCAACATGTCATTAGCTGATCTGGAATGATGTAACTGAGAAGGAACATTTTGATTTCATCCCTGGAGATTACCAGCTCATGAGGGACAAACTACAGAAAATTAATTGGGGCGCACACCATTAAAGAGGAATCAGACATAGATGAATCATTGCAAGACTTTATGGAAATCTTTGATATAACATTAGAGGAATGTATACCCCAGAAAACAAGGAGGTGGATGAATCACAAACCCAGGAAAGCCACAACAAAAACCTGTGTTAGAAATGCCAGACACAAAACATTATACAGATTATGTAGTACAGTACTTTACCTGTTTACAAAAGAGCCCTAAATGTGGCCAACCAGGAAATAAGATCAGCAAAATGGAAACACAGTGTGGTCATAAATGGATTACATTTAGGATGGAAAAAGGTCCTCAGTGAAGTACCACAAGGACTCACCCATCCTTGGACCCACCCTGCTTATGATCCAACATAAATGACATACAGTAGATGAAATTACAGTACAGTACTGTATACTGTATTGAGCTACATTGCCAAGTTTGCAGTTGAGAGAGATATTAGGAAGGTAACAAATCAAGACGATGTCACAGTCATGCAAAACGATCTGCACAAATTATTCAAATGGTTGTGATACTGGCAAATGCTTTTTAACATTACAATGCATAAGACTGCAGACAGACAGGCAAATTTGGCATACTGTACATGTAAGTTACAACAACCCTAATCAGAACTATTCTGTTAATAAACTTCCCTGGATACTGTTGATAAAAGGAAAGCTCTAGACATTGTGATAGAGTGGCCACTGATAGCAGCTCAACAAATGGAAGCATCAGTGAGAAGAAACAAAACAATCAAGATTTGGAAATTATAAAGTGTACCTTTGAATACATTAATGGGATAATACTCCTTCAGATTTATAAGTCTCTAGTACATTCCAGTCTGGATTACAGTCTACAGCCATGGAAACACTACCTCTAGAAAGACTTATATTCCTAGAAAAGGTGCAACACAATGAAAAAGATGATTCCAGACCTCTTATCTTGATCATCCAAGTAGACTGAAGGCCTTAGGAATAACAATTCTTTAGACATGACACAATAGGACAAATTTCATAGAGACAATCAAATTCTTGAAAGGGGTGGAATACTTGAACCCAGACCATTTTTCATGACGTCACGTACCACCAACACGAAGGAACATAACTTCAAGCTCGCCAAGATATCATTGGATGAATACTGTATTAGGAAATACTTCATACACAGAGTGGTAGACCTGTGGAACAGTCTACCAGCCCAAACTGTGGAATCACAAAGATTACAGGGATTCAAAATAGCCCTAGACAAGACTATCAAGAAAACTGGAGATATCTTGCACAAGCTACTGGCATTTTTCCCTTGACATGGCCACCTCTAGTCAAATTATATACAGTATGTAATACTCACATTATAAAGGCAATTAATTCCTTCAAGAAACACACAAGATTAAATGCATTTTTGAAATTTGATGTGAGAATCTTGTGGCAGTCCTGTTTGTCAATTCATTAATACAGTACTGTACAGTGTATAGTTTTTCACTATTTAAGCAAATATACAAAAACATTTGGAAACTTCTAATGATGTTAAATAATGATGAGCAGTTTATTATTATAAAAATGCTACCTTTGGATTGTTTAATATTTATCCTGAGTGATACAGTACAGCCAAAAATAGATACAAAAATCACACTACCATTACATACAGTCTTACTTCACCATGTACAGTACAGGGGGCCCCCAGATTTGCAGATATTTATTTCACAATCCTTTAATATTAGTGGATGACGCCCTGGATGTACCCAAGAATGTCTGCGGGTAGTTTTAAAGTTGCCGGCATTTTCACGGCTGAGACAGGGAGCCATTCGTTCTAGAGACAGGGCAAACACATAAAGGGAATATACATTTCTTTGTACACAAGTAAAAATTAAAAATATACCACTCCCTCCCCTCCCCCCCAAGTCCGCAAATGTTATTCACAGATTTGGCGATTCGTGGCCATTTTGAGAACCTTACCCCCACAAATTTGGAGGCCCTCTGTATTGCCAGGTAAAATTGGGTGTATGAGAGCCAGGGTGGGGTTGATGCATCTTTGGCTGACTGTACCCGAGTCACCCACTGATTCAAATGGAATCCAAGTTGACTTGAACCATCTGGGTGAGAAGTGTCAAAATAGAATACAGGATATATTATCAGGCATTTCACTAGTAGAGTGTATCCTGCTGTTAAACAATAGGCCCCTGGCTTATGGGCAGAATCACCAAGGGTGGTGTGGAACTCAGAGGCCAACTCAATGACCACTAAGTCACAAATGCTATAAAAAGCTAACTTTAACTGGAAGAGGTTAAATAAATAAAATATTAAAATACATTAAAAAATCTATTCAACTTCAACTTGTGCTATTACATAATAAAAGGCAGTGAGACAATTTATATGTTAGGTGGAACAAGTTTTCATTATAAACTCATGTTTCTGCAGATGATTGGTCTGAAATTTGGAAGTCCAAATGGTTTCCATTTGTTATCTACTAATACTTTCTCACAAAGCCACTTAAACACTACTGAGAAAAATAAGGTCTAGAAAAATATTATACCCACAGTTTTCTGAATAACATAACATGGGTACTGTACTGTACTCATCTTGGTGAAAACAGTCAACTACATTTTGTACGACTGATAGAAATATTAAAAAAGAACTTCCATCTGTTTACAGGCCCACAGTACAGTACAGTACTGTACAATACATAAAGCTCTAAATACAAAATAGATGCTGAAAATACAAAATATAAATGGTTTATACAGTACTACAGAGCACTCATAAAGTTATATCTTATTTCAAACCAGCACAGTACTACAATGTTGTTATCTTTGACTCCTAAATTATATTACATTTACTGCACTGTACTGTACTCACTTAGTACCTTATCTTATCTAGTAAGGCCCACTCATGTGTGGGCGTGTTCATGTGTGTCAGTAATATATATATATATATATATATATATATATACAGTATATATATATATATATATATATATATATATATATATATATATATATATATATATATATATATATATATATATATATATATATATATATATATATATATATATATATATATATATATTTCATGTAAATCACAATGAAAACGTGGATGTCATCATTATGACCTGACCTCATGTTTTTAGGTCACCCTGTATATTTAAGCTCTCTCTGTCCATGTAATCTAGTTGCCTCTGAAGATGTCTTGAATAAAGACAGCTAAGGTACTCCGTTGTTTCCATTTTCCGTGTGATTTTATCAAGTGATATATATATATATATATATATATATCCTATATATATATATATATATATATATATATATACATATATATATATATATATATATATATATATATATATATATATATATATATATATATATATATATATATATATATATATATATATATATATATATATATATACACACACACTGTTCATAGTGTTGTTTATATAACATGTACATAATCATGCTAAATAGTAATACAGTACAGTAGAGTACAGCTCCTCCCCGACTTACGACCTACTCGACTTACAACCTGCTTCAGGCGTACCAAAATTTGGTAAAATTACGTATTTTCAAGTCCCAAAGTCAGTACACAGACAACATTTTCATTTGTAATTCACTTTAAAATGGCTGGCAAGCTTAAGTGAGTGTTTTGTGGTGCTGAGAAGAAAAAGAGACACCCATTTTAGATTTTCTATGTATTATTTAAGCATTTCCGACTTACGACCATTTCGACTTACGACCTGGATTTGGGTCCCTAACCCCGTCGTAAGTCTGGGAGGAGCTGTACTTTACATGCAATATACAGTAACAGTAATTCCTCTACATTTCTTTATTCTTCCTTAAAAATTTTAACTTAGTTTCATGAGAAAATAAAAGAGATAATCATAATATAAACTACAGGTATAAGTGAATATACAGGTTCAGTGGGTAAAATTCAGGAACCCTCAGGACCCAAAACCAAACCAATTAAATTTTTTCTGGCCTTTGCACACCTAAATACTGTACTACTTATCTTGGACTTACACTCACAATAATGAAAGTATTGTACAATATTAAAAAGAGACAGGAAAAAAATTAATCAAATAATGTTTGAATTTTTCTTACAGTTCTTTATTTATGCAGTAAAGTATGATACATAAAATAAATTTACATAGCATACCTAGATGTTATCATCAAGTCTATAACTCACCTAAATAGCTGAGAAAACTAGTGAAAAAATCAATATGCATCTGATTTTCTTACTACATAGGATGCCTGGGTTGGTGTCAGCAGTGGAATGGCAAACATTGTTTATGCCACAGGCTTGACTGACACTGGGAGATGGCAGCACCTACTGGTTGCATGCAGTTATTTTTTGATGATTGCAGACTCAGGTTAAGCTTTGCAGTGAGCAGGAATGATGTTTTCCTCAACCTGAGCTGAGCACTACAGTCAAAAGTAAAAACTGGCAGAATTGGGCACTGATTGGAAATCAGCATCCATCATTCTCAATGGTTGAGTGTGCAGCTTAAAGTAAACAAGAGAGTGTTATGTCTTATATAATCTCCAGAACTCTTGTACTATTTTATAAATTTTATTTATTTTTTCTTATATTTAAAATTTCCAAGAAATATGAGCATTATGAAGAAATAGCTTTCTAAGAGGTATGTCTGGCCTTTGGATGACAGGAAAAGTTAAATACTGGCCATACAGTATATCCCTAGATTGTGGCAATGAGTTCTGCTACCTGGATGACGAGATAAGTGCAGGGGGTGGTGCCAAAGCTAACTCAATTGCAAGAATCAGAAGTGCCTGGAAGAAGTTTAGGGAGTTATTGCCTTTATTAATGGCGAGAGGACCTCTTCACTTGAATGGAAAGTTGTATGTAGTTGGCATAAAGTATGGTGTGGGTAAAGGAGCAAAACTTGGGCAGCAGACCTGAGAGAAATGAAATGAGTATGATGTGATGTTCTGTAATAGTAAATAATTTGAAATCCTGCTCAGAAAACAAAAGTATGATGAAGTTTTATGTAGAAGTAGGTCAATATGGTTTGGGTATGTGGAGAGAATGGAAGAGACTAACTGGGTCAAGAGATTCATGAGTTTGAATATGGAGGCCCAAAAATGACATGGGGACAGATTTTGAGAAATGACCTCAAAGATAAGCACCTCACAAGAGACTGCAAGAGACCTGGAGAGCTGCCATTAGGTAATCATGGCTAACCCACACAAAGATTGGAAAATGGCCATAAAACAATCATGATGATGATGATATGCTATACTGTACCTCTTAAGAATGTTTATATATTGTGGTGAAAATGTATGGTTTTCTCACATTCTCAGTTTCCTGACAATTGGATTTTAAACACTGAACCCATAGCATCCCTACTAAATCTTACCTCACATAACTTCACCTTAACTAACCTAATTTAGGTATACAGTACAGTAATTTGGTTAGGTTATGATAGTAAATGACATCTCTTATGAAAAAGAGCAAAAATGACCTCATATGAAATGATTTATATTCCTCACAGCAATAACAACAAAAAGTTAACTCAATTTAGCAACAATTCAGCTGTACATTATGGCTGAATCAAATGATTTTTCTTATTGAGACACACACACACACAGGTATGGGACTGTTTATCCGGCATCCTGATATCCGGAATGCTCCAAAAACCAGCTACGTTTTGGAACGAATTATTTATATGAGTACCTGTAGTATACCATATACCAAGTATACCAGTAATTCGCAGGCCAAGCAAGGATATTTCCAACAATTCTCCACCTGTGGATGTTTTTAACTCATATTTTCAGGTAGATATCCTGTACGTAATTTTTTTACTCACATGTACAGTACAGGTACCGGTACACAGAATCCTACAAAAGGAAAGTGCAAAAAGGAACAAAAGTTATAATTACCATAAGGTATAAAGTTTTAAGTACTGTATCTACCATGAAGCTGTGTGGCAAGTGTGAAGATATTGGAGGGTCCGTGGCACGGAGTATCACTGCTGGGGATGCTGCTGCATTGCGAAGATGACCGTCAGTGACATCTGGCATGCAGTTTGTACACTACCTTGTATAATTTTTGCTCTTTTTATGCTTTCAATATTGCTATTCTTTTGTTATTGATGTTTATACACCTACAATCATAAATTTTATTGTTTCAGTGTACAGTTGAAGCTACTTTTAAGAGCAAGCCTAGTGATTTGGACAGAGGCTTCACTGCCAGTTACAGAGGGTTTACTGTACATTTTAGACCAGGCACTCCAAATTATGGAATAAAGCCCTATCCAGCCCCCTAGGTCCCGAGCACGCTGGATAAATGGTCCCATACCTGTACATACCGAAAGTTGTAAGACCCCGAGAAAAAAATATGTACATATGGATGGGTTAGGTTTTCATTAAAAAAAATAAATAAATAAAAAAAAAAAGGATTTTTGTCAACTCTAGACAGGTTAACCGAAGAAATTTCACACACAGTATATAATCAAGCTTGCATCACCCTGGCATAACAATGACACACCCTCACCTCTTTGAACCTTCCCAGGTCACATCTCATACAAAAATCTACAGAATCAAGTATTTTACCTTTAGACAACAGAAAATTTTCTAATAAGTCAACATTTGTTAGAAGCCAACACACATGTGATGTTTAATCATACGCTGTGAGACTGAATCTAGAGGGTGTTCACACTGGACATGGAATGTCTTATATATCTTCCTAAAGTACAGTTTTAAAGGGTCTTCAAGACACTCTGAACACTAAAATGGTTTCTCTCCTATATTAACTCAAACGTATTCACAAGTAATGTTCTACAGACATACAGCTGATTAGTCTCCTGTATGACTTTTCATATGTCTTGCCAGAGAGGATTTATATGTGAATATTTTAAGACACAATGAACATTTGAATGGTTTCTCTCCTGTATGAACTTTCATATGATTTACCAGAACACATTTTTGAGAAAAGTCCTCAAGACACACTGAGCACTTGAATGGCTTTTCTCCTGTATGAACTCTAGTATGTTTTACAAGAGAGGACTTACGAGTAAAGTTTTTAAGACACACTGAGCAGTGGAATGGCTTCTCTCCTCTATGAACTTTCATATGTATTACCAGCGAGTATTTGTGTGTGAAGTTCTTAAAACACACTGAACATGTAAATGGCTTCTCTTTTGTGTGAGCTCTCATATGCTTAACCAAAGAGTATTTATGTATAAAGGTTTTGAAACACACTGTACACTCATATGGTTTCTCTCCTGTATGAACTCTCATATGTGTTACTAGAGAAGATTTATGGATAAAGTTCTTGAAACATTCTAAACATTTATATGGTTTCTCTCCTGTATGAACCCTCATATGAGTTACTAGTGAGGATTTGTGGATAAAGTTTTTAACACATACTGTACACTTATATGGCTTCTCTCTTGTATGAACTCTCATATTTGTCACAGAAGATGGCTTTTGCGTAAGATCTTTAGACATCCTAAACACTCTTATACTGTAATACCTTTCCAGTATGAACTCACATGTGTTTTGTTGATTATTTTGTTTAAAGCCTTTCAATCACCCTACATAATGTATAAACCTGCATCTTTTGTTTTATCAACTCATTGTTTAAACTCTTTGAACTATTTTAACCAAAGAAATTACTGTTGTTGTCAGTAAACATCTATCCTGACATTTCTGTGCACAAGTCTTAAGTGATGTTTAACAGAAAAACTGTTCTATCCGATGTAGCTATAGTCTCCTATCTCTTGTAATTTATTTGTTTCAAAATAGTAACTGAAAACAACAATTATGTTTCAGAATCTGTTAATAGTGAAATGTAAGCCCTACATAATTTAATACAAATGAACCCTGTACATATAGTAGCTCTGATGTCAGGGTGAACTTTATTGCAGTAGATGGTGATGGTGTCCACTCAGTAGTAATGGTGTGGTGTTGGGCCACTACTGCACTGCATATCACAGTGTATCATTAAAGGATTATCATCAATACAGTGGCTGCAGAAGGTGTATGTACAGTCTTTATATCTTGAATGTTTCATAAGATATGTTCACAATAAGATACTATATTTTTTTTTATTACAACTAGTGTTTACTTAACACATTCTCCTGCTGGTTACAAAATGTCAAGGTCCAAAACCTTGATAAATTATAAACACTTCAACAACCACACAAATTGCTTAAAAGCCTTATGATACATATACAAAAGCCACGAAAGTTTCATTTTCTACGTTAGATGCTCTTACATAATCCTGTACATAAACTTGGGTGGGACGAAAGATCTTGCGTATTGATGTACAGAGGTCCAGATTGATAGGTGGATGAACAAGTGCAGATCAATATGTTCCCCTGCATATACAATAGGAACACAAAAAACTTATATTGTTTGCAAAATTTGGTGTATGCAGACCATACTCTGTATGTCCAATCAACATACTGTTCTGGCTGTCTTCTGTTTGTGTATCAATGTGATGTTTGTCTCTCAACTTATATCTGTCAAGAGAAAAATCAATGCATTACTCAAACATTTCTGCATCTGATTACTTTAATATTTACTAAGAATAATGAAAACTTTTAGTAGTATTGGACCAATTACTACATTAAATTAATGATCCAGACCAGCAGAAATTCTGACACAACAACGACATTTGTTGCAAAATTTGAAAAATTCACCCTACTGCAAATCGCAGTTTTCATTTAAAACACAGCTTAATATAGAGATCATAAACATTCAGTGTTAACATCTGGACTGTACAGTGCAACCAGGTGGCTCATGTATTTCAGCAAACTAAAATATACAGTTGACACTAATAGAGTACTGTATACTGTATTGTATAGTCCTTTGGCAAGCTCATCTTCACCAGGTACGATTGGCTGGGTGATGGCCTGAGATTTAGAAGTGCCTATCAACAACCATCTTACATAGGAGATTGGTGACAGCGAGCTAATTAGAGACATGCTACGAGTCTGTGTGTAACTGCATGCGTTTGTAAGCCACCTGAGCTGCAATCTTAATACTACTGTATCAAAATAAGGTTTTAACATTTACAATACAACCTTGCAAATGCAGTATACAGGTGTATATCCCTTGAGTTACAGAAGCTCCAGTTAAAGAAATTTGCATTAGTAGAATCCAAAAGTATGGATTAAATTCTGAGACGTGAAGGAAAACTTTTAGTGAATGGAAAATCTTCGATTACAGTAGTTCCAGAGACATTTAAGATACCTAAACCTGAATACTCTTCAATACTGTACCCAGAAACCAAAGATTGTCTCTAAACTGATCATTGTTTAGACCAGTGGTTCATAAACTATGGATCGAATGGGTCACGAGAACATTATCAAAGCTGCAAACACTTCACTTCAATCCTCATTTTGCTACTGACCAGTACTGTACACCCACAGTGTTGCTTGTAACAACAGCGAGTGTGTTATAAATTTTGTTTAAAAACTATTGTGTAATTATGCACAGGGATCTGGGTTTTGTCACCTGTATTTCATCACCATATTTTCATGCTGTGCCAATTTTGTAATAATTTTCCTCTTTATTTCTTCTCCATTTTTCATTCCGTTTGTGTGCTTTTTGCGTCGAGAGCTGCTGAGTTACTCCTGGAATTTAATAGCTTATTGTATTTATTTGTTTGTTTTTCAGGATGGGGAAATGTACTTACAAAGATGCATTTTTTAAATCTTGGATTCAATCACATAACAAATTTTGACTTGAAAGATTCTCTGAGCCGAAATGGTTGCCCCTAGTGGCCACCTCACAGATTTATTTGGTGAAATTAACTGCCTGAATGCTTCCATGCAAGGCTAGAACCACACTCTCAGCACATTCACTGAGTAGCTTTCCTCACTTACCAAACTGAAGTTGTGGCAAAGCAAAATGGAGTAAGGAAAGATCGAGTCTTTCCCGTCCTGAAACAAACTGTTGGAAAACTGAGGAAAATGCCTCAGCATTGTTTGAAGACATTCATGGCAGTGTCCTGAAGCACTTGAACACTCTCAGAGAAGAATCGAACTCTATATTCATTCCTACTGATGATACCATGAAATACTGCTGGGTTTGAAATACTCTCGATATTAATGTATAAAATTTGTCAGATGACAGAGCACCCAGACAGCATGAACAAATGATAGAAATATAACATGATTTACCAACCCACAGCTTCAAGCAGTAGCCCCTCAGTACTTTATGGGTCACTCTCCTCAATGAAAAAACAATAGTTGCTGCCAAAGCTCCGAAAGGCCTCCTGCCATTCCTGCAAGGCAGGATTTTCAACATCCGTACCGTACTGACAAAGACAGATCTTCGAAACAGGTTCAGTGTGACCATGATCTGCGCTACAGCCTGTCTGCCACGACAACACACTTTAAGACCTGGCTAAGACAAAACAAGTCATCTCTCTTATTAGTTTAAGTTGTATTACATAAGCTTTAGTGTGAGTTCCATCACTGCATTATACAGTATTATATTGTTCTATCTGTGTATATACTAACAAACTTAGAGAAGAAACATTATATTTTGTATTATTGTGTTGATTTTATTATACCGTACTGTATATTGTAAGTCGCGTACATACCAATCTGGTTTTGGGTCACAAAGAATTTTTGTTAGAATTACTGGGTTAGACACAGTTACATATAACACCTTTTTTCTTCTTAATGTATATTGGTTTATGACATATGGAGACACATACAGTCACAAGTAATAGTCGCACAACACTCTCCTCCACCATACTTATCAAGCAATTTTAGGGGTAACTTCAAAGTTCTGCCCACTATGGAAGGATTCAATGTCGTTAATAGTGTTAAAGGGGTTGTATGTCATTAAATATACATGTCCTAAAATAATGGTCATATTCGTTAAAATGACAACAAAACACACAAGAAAACACTATTGTAGTAATAAAAAACGAGTCGGGCATAAAACAATCTTTACTGCAAAACCTGCCATAAAAGACATCCCTGTCAGGATTACCTACGTGTTTATATTTCCTTTTGTTGTATAAATGATCACACAACTATATCAACACCATATCTGATGTTTACACTGTACTTTATCTTTAGAATTATACCTAGAAAGAGAGATAATTGGAGCATTTTTTGCATAATGGTTACATACAGTAGATAAGTGTATGTAAAGTATTTTGATAAAAATTTTGCTTTATAATATAAAAGGGAAAATGCATATACACCACTACCTATCACTTTGAACAATAGCAAGGACATTTAGGTAAAATTTCACTCAAAACATAAAAAATCCTAGAAACTAACACAGTCCTTCCCCACCTTCAATATACAGCACTTAAGAGTGAATGGAGTATTGTAGGGATATACTTATTCTATTCTTGATGCATAAAGAATTACCCTCTAAGTACACCATTAAAGAGTACCTGCAATTGTGAGTCATAGGTATAAGACCAACAATCATAAAAATAACTCACTAGGATTCTGATGACCATTCCTACTGCTCTTCCTGGCTGACAGAATGTAAACAAACACGGTCGCCTACACTGGCAGTTCCTACTTCACGAGAACAAAAATATTCTAATGCTGTATTAAAAAAGAGTAATTTAAAAAACCTAATATCACACTGACAAATCAATAGAGCTGCCAAAGATAAGTATTTTCTCTTTAGCTTTATCAATCTATCCTACTGCACATATTTGAAGTGCGACGGTTTAACCTTGAGTAAACTTTTGCTGAACGAAGCCACCATAATGGAAACGACCGAGGAACAATCATTCACCCTCCAACAACATAATACAAGGCTAAATCAGGAATTAAACCCAGCACGGCAACCGAACAACAGAATGGAGGGGATGAAAAGGCGGTGCCAGATTTACCATGCATCAGGTAAAGCACAGTGCCTCCACAAAGTATCCTTTTAATTTATTGTTGTCATGAAACAAGTCATTGGCTTGCTTTCCCCGTCAGAGCGGTAAATAAATGTCTGCAACAAGATTATGATTCACATCCATGTCTGCCACTACAACGCATGAAGTAGTAAGTTGTCTATTATACAAATATTTCACACAATATGCATTTTGGGGTGAGATGATATTTTTATTAGATACGAAATATTTTTAAGAAATATATTTTATATCCATAGTGAACAAAACACGTATTAATTTGATAATTTAAACGGCCAATCTGACATTGAGCCTCTGGGCGGATTAACGAAGGTTCGTCCAATGAATATTCCTCTACTGAAGTTTGATAATTATACAGAATTTAGGTAAGCATAGTGTAAATCTTAATTAAGTGTATAAATATAACACCTGCTTTGAATTAAATAAAAGCAAACAATATTCTGGAATATACATTCAATATTAATTTCATCACTGAACGGTTGCAACGTTAAGGCAGAGGCTTGTAATTTCCGTCCTAGATAATGCAGTATATTTTTTGTTTTGTTTTATTGGTTTAGTGTAATTCAGAGGTTTAAGTTTATATTGACTTTCAGTTGCAAATAATATTAATCTTAGGACTCCGTAATCATTATCATGATAGTGTTGTGGTGTTCAGCTGTTGTAACCTGTGAGGACGATAAGTTGGCCCCGTGTGGGAGCATAATATTGCGTGATTATAATGCGTCACATTGTTTTCCTGGATTCCTGGTTATAACATGTGGTGATGGGAGCACAACACCGTCAGTAAGTACCGTTTATGATAGTGAAGGTGTGTCGACTACGAGACAAGTCACAACTAACCTAAGGCTTATCTTGGTGTAAGATATACAAGTGATTCATAAGTGCAGGAGAATGTACACTAGTATTTGGGAAATAGTTTACCTTTAAGTAAATTTATCAAGTAAACTTTGAGGAATGTTGGGTAAATTTATAGTAGTTCACACAACTCTGTTAGAAAGTCAAAACTGTTTTTCCAGTGTGTTTTGATTAGTTCTGACCTTGTTTTCTATCGGATATTTTTGTCGTTTTCCGACAAACATCATGGACAAGTGAATACAAAATACACCAAAAAACACTAGAGAAACATATAAACCTAACCTTTTTTGGGATGATCTGACCTAACCTGTCACCATATGATGGAATCACTTATTCCTTACCTTATTAGCCTGGTTCATGCCATCTATGTTGGTCTTGACGATATTTACACTCGTTCTTACACTTGGGACACTTTACTGAGGTCGGGAGAACGCCATGAGATCTAAAAAATGCTATAGCTTGGTCGTTTTTTTTTTTAAACGCGCAATCATCTCCATATAATTGAAGTGAAACCCATCGCAGACTTCCATGGTTGGAAATGAATTTGAATTTCGAAATATGAGACCCAAAATCACAATCGAATCTGATTGGGCAAAAAATACTGCAAATTAAACCACAATTTATTTTAATTGGTAGCAAAAAAAAAACACGCTTTTGATTGGCCACGTGACATGTACGGGAACGCATGCACATGACGATTTATGAAGGAAACACGCTGAGTGGGATGTGAGGGAGGCGATAATGGCTGAAGATTAATGGAATTAAATCAAGAAAGATTTGGCATACCTTATCTCTGTTATTATACGTTTCCGACGGTAATGTAATAGAAGAAAATTCTAGGAAAGTTGTGTGAACTACAGCAGTGCTAACCCTGTTGGTTGACACCAGCAATACTTGTATAACTAATGGCCACTCCAGTTTACTTACGAAGCAGCAAGTAGGCCATAGCCTATGTGATTCAGTACTTTTGATTAACTTGACAAAAGGCAATCACTGAACAATACCTGACATTAATTGGAACAGACCATTGAGTAGCTCTGTGGATGAACCACTGAGCAACCCAGTGGTTTCTTCCTGCTTATGGTAAATTGACAAACTTCAGTAACCGTTTTTTAACTCGCAGAAGCTCCAAAACTGGGGTCCAACTAATTTCCCAAATGTAGCCGCAATGAAGTCAAATAATGGTGCTACATGAATAAATCGGACCAATCACTTCTCGACTGGTATTTGGTGTCACAAAGTCACAAAAAATTGGTAAACTTAATTTAATCTGAGTTAATAGATCGAGTGCATGTACCTAACCTAACCTAACCTAACCTCAACTAGTATTTGGTGTCACGAAGTCACAAAAAATTGGTAAACTTAATTTAATCTGAGTTAATAGATCAAGTGCATTTACCTAACCTAACCTAACACAACACAACTCAGATTAAATTAAGTTTACCAATTTTTTGTGACTATGACACCAAATAATAATCGAGAAGTGATTCACAGCCCGATTTACGCTTGTACGACCATCATTTGACTTCATTGCTACATTTGGGTTGGACCAAAACTGTACTGTACTTGCATATATTTTTTTTTTTTTCCCCCACTTTATCTTGGACCCCACTTCTAAACTGGGCAGACAGGGGAGGGGGGCAGGGTTAAGGGGTTACAATGAACACTTATTTTCTCTGTGAAGAAAAATTTGTGTAAGTACAGTTTTTTTCCAAAATGTACCACTTATTTAAATGAATACATGTACACGTACTGTATACTGTACGGTATTTATATTTTATTTTAGCGTCGCAAGCTGGCAGGCTGCCTGGCAATGTCGTGAATGGGAGAGTTAAACTAGCAAGTGGCAAAGCCTGTACTCGGTGATCTTTGGTAGGAGTACAGGCAGGCAGTGTGGGTCAACACAATGGAAGCTCCAAAAGATTTTACTGGTAAGTTTCATAAAAAAAAATTTATATATTATCTCTGACATACCGGTAACTGTACTTCTATTATTTTCTTTTCAGTGTTCTTTGTTGCACTGTAAATATTATAACTTCTCCAGAGTTCTTGGAGGGTAGGAGCATTGGTTAAATTGCATATTACAGCAACCAAAGAATCTGAGAAAAAACTGTTACCTAACCTACGGTAATATAAGAAAATGATCATCGAAAAATAATTTTCTATCGATTGAGTGGAGTGAATTTCCGAATTTTGTGGTTGCTGTTTACTGCAATATTACCAGAGCATCATCTCCTTCAGTAATCCAAGCTGCCTGAGCTAAGGTTCGACAATGATCCATACATTTTTTGTGTGGGGAACACACCCTTGACATCAGGCTGAAAACAACCAATAAATGTGGGTACCCAGGTGCAATGTCTAACACACGGAATATTTTGAATGGAAGATGTAGAACCAGCCCTATAAATTAAACAAAGTTACCCGAACCTTGGGAGTGCACTTGCTAACATTAGACAGAGAAGCTTTCATTACACTTAGTGCTCTAGGGTTCTCAGAATGGTAAAGAAGAAATGGCTTGATTTTACAGTCCCCATCATCAGTCCCTCCAAGCAAAAGAGTTAGGCAGTCTTTCACAGTTATCTGGGCACTACAGTTTCTCTCCTGAATTATAGCAGGTAAATCTTAGAAAAATCACATGTTGCTTTTCCATTGGCACTAGCTAATTGCCCACTGACTTTACTGTGCACATTTGATCATCAAACATGATTTATCATAAAAAAGTGGTATATTCAACAGAAAAATACTGTTGAAATTTCCTTTATTTTTCTTTGTAATTTGGTCATGAAACTTGATGAAAGAACACTATATAACTTCTTTTACCTTAGAAGAAATCTGTCAGCACTCCTGATTAACCATAGTTAAATATTTAATAAGAATAGTTTTGCTGTTATTGATGTACATTTATTAAAATGTACTTGTCATCAGAATACTAAATAAAGTAAATTATTTTGTTTCAGACACAGATGAAGTCATCAAGACAGAGCCCAACACTAAACAGACCACAATGTCAAGTAGTGACAAAAAGTTCTCCTGTGGGGAATGTGGGAAACTGTTTACCTGGAAGAGCAATCTCAAGAAACATAAACTTAAGCACAGTGGCATCAAACAGTTTAAATGTGATGAGTGTGGGAAAAATTTCTCAAGGAAGAGTACGCTCAAGACACATTTACAAATGCACAGTGGTGTCAAAAAGTTTGAAAGTAATACAGAGGTCCCATTGTCAGGTAGAGAAAAACTCTTCAAATGTAAAGAATGTACAAAATCATTTTTCTGGAACAGTAATCTCCAGAGACACTTAAACGTGCACCGTGGTATCAAAAAGTTTCGATGTCATGAATGTGGGAAACATTTCTCACAGAAGGGTACACTTCATAATCATCTTCTTGTACACAGTGGTGTCAAAAAGTTTCAGTGTAATGCATGTGGGAAATGTTTTGCCCAGAGAGCTACTCTTCATAAACATTTGTTTACACACAGTGCTATAAAAAAATATGAATGTAATGAATGTGGGAAATATTTTTCATTAAAAAGTACTCTAAGGACTCATATGCTTGTGCACAGTAAAGACAGAAAGGGTGCTGGTAACAAACCTGTGAAAGATCTTGAAGAGAAGGGATCTGCCCAGAGTCATTTGTCTGTGCCCAGTGACATCAAGAAATTTGACTGTGATGTATGTGAGAACAAATTTTCAACAAAGAGAACTCTTCAGAATCATTTGCTTGTTCACACTGGTATCAAAAATTTCTTGTGTCACGAATGTGGAAAATTGTATTTACGTAAAGAAGATCTTCGGAAACACATAGTTGGGCACAGCAGAAATGAAAGGTTTAAGTGCAATGACTGTGGGAAGCAGTTTTCTCGTAAGACTACTCTGAAAGATCATTTACTTGTCCACACTGGTGTCAAAAAATTTGAATGTGACAAATGTGGCAAACATTTTGCTCTGAAGAGAAATCTTAGGTATCATCAGCTTGTGCACAATGATGTAAAAAAATATGGATGTGAGGAATGTGGAAAACGTTGTACAGATTTGAGTTCTCTCAAGAAACATTTGGTGGTTCACACTCGTATCAAAAAATATGGATGTGATATATGTGGGAAGCATTTTTCTCTGAGCAGCCATCTCAAGACACATCAGCTTGTGCACGGTGGTGTCAAAGAATTTGGATGTGATGAATGTGGAAAAATGTTTTTGCGTAAGTGGGATCTTAAGAAGCATTTACAGACTCATAAGAAAAATTAGATAACATTAGGAGACTGTTTTCTCATGAGGACAATGAAGTACAGCACAGCACTAATGTGATATACTACCTATGACAATTTTTTTTTTACATGTACAGTATACAATACATTTTAGTGAAATATAAAGATACTGTACCATTGAAGCAATTTATATCATTACATTTTAAGTCACAGTGAGTCGAGTATAATTTAGCTGTACATTACTTACATACATGGGCCAGGTAGGACAGGCAACAGAACACTTTATTTTTATGAAATTAACAACATGGATGTGATACTGATTTAACCAAAACTGACAGTACAGTACTGGTAACATAACACCATCAGACTCCTAATAAAGAGACTCATGTTTATTACCAGTGGTGGAACAGAATGGTACATTAATCTTGTCGCAACATAAGTACTGTACAGAGATGAAACAGTATATTGTATTAATGCTTTGTACAGTGATGGAACAGTATGGTATATTAAGTCTTGTACTGTAGCAACAAAATACAGTGGTGGTAACAAAGCACCAAGCCTTGTAGTAATAAGAGTACAGTGGTGGAACAAAATGTCAAACCTTGTAGTAATGATTACAGTGGAGGAGCCAAACATACCTTAAGCCTTTTAGTAACTAGTACATTGATGAAACAAGGTATAAAGCCTTGTAGAAAATAAGAGTACGCCACAACATACAATCCTTCATTGTGCAGGAGCTGATATTCACCCAGACTTCACTTATCCTTGCAATGTTGACTTGTGTCATAATGTTATGTTCATTTCTATATACAGTTCTGTAGCTGCACTTAACATTTTATATTTTTCCTGAAATAAATATATCTTTTTACATCATAGAATATTTAATGTAAACTACATACTGTACAATAGACAGCAGCTTGGTTTAACTCACATTATTTTTCATGACTAATGGATCATTGTGAGTGACCTGTGATATCCACACCATGAAGTTTAACATCTCGTTAGTGCAGATGGGTTATATGCTGTGGGGTATGGTTAATATTTCCATTTAATTTTAATATTATACCTGTATATGATATTACTGTAGTCTATACACGATTACAAATAATTTAATGTATTTAACATGCAATTAATGCATTGAATCTACAAAAAATATGATAGTAATCAAACTAAATAATTTATTCTTGTTACAAGTAAGATATCAAATGTAACATAATAGAGTTGATGTAATGAGGGTACAGTACTCCTCTTATATTTTCACTCAATTTTTATTGGTAAATCCTTTTTCCTTATCTTCACTATTTACTCATCTGTATCTACAGTACTTCCTCGTCCTCACTATTTACAGACTCGGCAGCATGTTCCAAGCAGATTGATTTGAAGCATTTATGACAGATATTAATTTTCTTGTCTTACATTTCAACCAGAGGCACAATGAGCATCTTTAGAGAGAACCTTGACAAGGGCATTTTTGCGGTAATCCCTCAAATATTTTCTCAAACTCATGTTTATATTTTGAATCAACTGAGTTCAGAGTGCTTCTTGTAAATCAACTGAGTGCAAAGTGCTTCTTGTAAGCAAAAACTTATCTGTCTTTGTGTGCCTATTCAATATTGCATACTGTACTGCTAAACTAAATGCCTTCTTTATAGGACATGACATATTATGGGATGAATTTTACAAATCTCTTCCTCTTCAGTGTCAAAACATTACCTGTATTTCATAGTTCAATCGTTCAGTCACCAAACATTGTGCTGTGGTGTAAACAGGTTTTCATGGCTGTATATACTGTAATAATGTATTGACTATTGAGTCATGTTATCATTTACATAGATTATAAGTTTGTTATTACATTCCCATATTAGGATACGTACTGTATAAGATTTTCTCAGAGGCATTATACGTACATGAAGGTAACCATACAGTACAGTACTTGGATATATTTACATACAAAGTAGTTTAAGATTGTAATGCTTTACTCCAGTATAAAGGTCAAATTATACTGTTTTAATCCTGTACTTAATCAGTTAAAACACCATTGTACACAATGATGAAAGTTCTGTATAGTTTGTATAAAATAAAATGGTTTTACAAGGAAATGATTTTAATTTTAGAGCCAGAAACTTAGTAGCACAAGCTGGGTGACAACAGATACTTGAATGTTTTTTGTAACAGTATGTTGATAAACTCACAAGAGTGTTATGATAGTATGCAGAGATGGATTCAAGTCATGTGTTTGGTGCAATCAACTGGGAACTTAATAAGTTGGAGCATTAGAATAGTAGAATGAACTTTTGAACTGGTTAATATCATCAGTAAAGGTATGTTCTGTAGGAGAGAATGGAAATGTCATTACTGGAGCAAGAACTGAGCTTTAAGACACTTGACAGGATCATAGTACCATCCACAACCACCTGCACAGATACAGTACTGTATAGCTTTTGGAGAGACAAAGGGAGTTCAAGAGATAAAAATTTAGGGAAATCAGAAGACAAGTTTGATAATAATTGATAAGTAGGCAATTAGCCAACAAAGCCATTAGATGCTTATTTCTGGTGGGGTTCATTCATTTTAAATGCCAAGAGCCTCTCGCCCGTACTATTAGACAACACCTTCCCTTGAAGAGGGTCGTCGTGTTTCAACCCAAGTTTTAAACTAAATGAGTCCTGAGGGACACCGCAGTACAGTACTTAACGGGGTGGTGTGGCGGTAAAATTAACTAATTCCAATAAAATTAATTTATAAAATTGGAATTAGTTAATTTTACCGCCACACCACCCCGTTAAGTACTGTACTGCTGTGTCCCCCAGGAATCATTTAGTCTAAAACTCGGGTTGAAACACGACGACCTTCTTCATGGGAAGAAGTTGTTTAATGATACGGGCGCAAGTGTGTTCTCAGGCAGTCACCCTAAGTGCAGTACTAAACAGGACCAATGTTGCTTAATTTCACTGATCAAAAAGCAATGTATTCATTATGGTTTAGCCATTGACTGATGTTAAACCCCATTAAAAGCTTCAAAGCCAAATTCCAAAAGAGATATGGTAGGCCTCGCCATTTCCTCTAATATGTAATGGAAGCCACACATCCACAACATTGTTAAAGCTGCCTCCCAAAAGCTGGGAATGCTGTACAGATGCCACAGCTACTTCACTCCTGAGCAGTTGCTTTAAGTTTATAAGGGATTCATTCGTCCTAACTTGGAGTACAGTACTGCTCTCATATCTAGGTTGGTTCTTCTTCTGTCCAACTTTTAGATAGGGTGGAATTAAAGGTATTTCGTCTTATTAACTCTCCTCCTTTTGTTGATAATCTCTCTTCCCTTTCTCTTCACCACAATGTTGCTTTACTCTCTCTCTTCTACAGGTACTTTAACGGGCAATGTTCGGTGGATTTGGCGTCCTGTGTACCGCCGGCAAGGCCGTGGGTTCATTACACTCGTCTTACCCGCGGTGCCCACCGTTTCTCTGTGGATGTCGGTCACACTAGAAAAAAACGTTATAGTACATCCTTCTTTCCCCACACAGTCAAACTGTCGAATGTTCTGCCTTCTTCTGTGTTTCCATACTCATACAATCTGCCTCACTTCAAAAAGCTGGTTTTCTGGCATCTTCGTGGTGTAGATTAATAATCCTTTTCTTTTCTATTTTTAATTTCTTTTTACTCTTATTTTTTTCGCCCCCTAGGCTCGTTGTGGGTCGATGACCTGTGCCCGGGTGGGCTATTCCCCAAAGAAGGAAAAAAAATGGATAACATATTGGTGAGAGAAAAAAAACGTATTACCGCTGTACCATCAACACCCCTTGTCAATATCTAGAAATATTTGCCACTCGTGGATTCAAAGAGAAGAGATTGAGTTTTCGATTGGATGAAAGGTTTCTGTAACTTTGTAATTGGTAAGTTGATCTTAGTCACGTTTAGTATTATACAGTACTGCATGTGTATGAGTTATGTAGATGGTACAGTACGTACTGCTTTTATTACAGAGACAGAGAAGAGGGATATTACAAAAACTTATTGAAAGATTACTGGAAAATGGTTAAGAATAGGTTTCGAGTTAATGGAGAAAACGAAAGCAATGACTGTTTCCAAATCGTAGGTACGTATATCCTTACAACAGAACCTATAGTACTTAACAAAGAACTTAAACAAGTGGAGAATGTTGAGTGTTTGGCAAGTACAATTAGTACTCTTTTTATATTTAGATACAATAGACGACTGAAGACTCCCTCTCTCTTGTGTCCTTTCTCTCTCTACCATGTCTTTCATTCTTTATTTCTTTCATTTTCGCAACAAGATTAATTTAATTAAACATGAAGTGGTTTTACAAAACAATTACTCTGAGTATTGCATGTAAGATGTTTAAGCCGGTTTACCGTTTTAGCGTGTGTGTGTATGTGGGGACGTGTTCAGAAGTCATGAACATAATAGATCCAGGCGCAGCAGAGTCGATGGCCGTCGTAATTACTCATAATGACATCAGCAGACATCATTAACCTTTACTAATTGCCGATGTACCAATGAAGGCCGCCGTCTACCATATCAGAGCGGTAATTAAATATAATTTGGCATCGTCCAACTCGTTACATTACGCGTTATAGCCTCGTTAGTGACATAAATGAATCAGCGTAGTGTTATTATACCCACGACGCGACGCCGGGGTTATGTAAGGCGGCCTGTATAGTCTGTGTGTGTGTGTGTGTGTAAGTACTGTCTCTATGTAATTACGTCCTCCACTATGAGTCTGGGATTTAAAGTTACAAAGGTCATATTCATTGTGTCAACTCTTAGGTCAAAGGTCACTCACAACTTTAACAAAGGCTCCCGTAACCCAGCATGAGTTGGTACTTAACACAGGTGTAGTTCAAGTCGTGTGTATAATTGAAGATCTTTTTTTTGTGGGGTAAACTGTCAGCCGGGTTTACACACACACACACGCACACACACACACACACGCACACACACACACACACGCGAGCCTCCAGGATAAAGGGTCGGAAAGTAGATGAACACTCAGTGATTACTTTGTTTGTCTTCTGCTTGCTTGTCCAGGCGACACTATATTAAACACCATAGCATAGAAAAAATAGTGCGAGAGAGAGAGAATGGTGGTGCAGGTGGTGGTGGTGAGAGTGTGGTGATGGTGGTGGTGAGAGTGTGGTGATGGTGGTGGTGAGAGTGGTGATGGTGGTGGTGAGAGTGGTGATGGTGGTGGTGAGAGTGGTGATGGTGGTGGTGAGAGTGGTGATGGTGGTGGTGGTGAGAGTGTGGTGATGGTGGTGGTGAGGCATCAAGCAACAACACATTGGTATTCAGTCATTTTATCAAGTCAGCAGCCAGACTCATTTCCCGGGTTCAGCCTCTGATCATTTTAACATAATCACATGCTACAACAACACGACCTCGGCACCAAACTTCCACCTTTTTCCTTTTTTTTCCTGAAACAGAAATTCAGGCATGGCAAATTATATTAGCTCCATTAATAGTGATTCTGGAAGCTTCCCTGATAATGATTGCTGAAGCTTCCCTGATAGTGACTGGTGAAGCTTCCCTGATAGTGATTGCTGAAGCTTCCCTGATAGTGACTGGTGAAGCTTCCCTGAGAGTGATTGCTGGAGTTTCCCTGATAATGATTGCTGAAGCTTCCCTGATAGTAGAAAGTTCATTATTATTTTGTGAACATTATCTATCTACACAAAGCTGGAAATGATGGCCACAGGTGAAGGTTACTCCAGTTACTCCGAAAACAGATCAAATTTGAGAGAGAGAGAGAGAGAGAGAGAGAGAGAGAGAGAGAGAGAGAGAGAGAGACGGGTACTGGAACTCGGCTCTCCCAGGTACTGTAAATATTGTTGAAAGTCTTCCTCTCTTTCTCTCTCTCAAACTTTTTTCGTACTCAATCTGTGTGTGTGATCACTACGCAGAATCAATCAGTGTTTACAGACCACTAATAACTTTTCACAAGGGAAATATTTTACGTGATAAGGAATGAATCTGTCGAGTGTAAATAATGTGATATTTTATTCCCTGAGTGACATTATTAATTAACTTTGAGTCTGGCCGTGATGATATTTTATATTTCTGATGATGACCAATGATGTTTTTTTACAAGATGACAGTGGCAGTGACGGTGGCAGTGACAATGACAGTGACGGTGACAGTGACGGTGACGGTGAAAGTGACGATGACAGTGACGGTGGCAGTGACGGTGAAAGTGACGATGACAGTGACGGTGACAGTGACGGTGAAAGTGACGATGACAGTGATAATGACAGTGACGGTGACAGTGACGATGACAGTGACGGTGAAAGTGACGATGAGTGAAGATGACAGTGACGGTGAAAGTGACGATGACAGTGACGAAGTGGTTAGGCTATCGCAACCATCAGAATAATCTATGAAAAAAAACACAACAAAGATCATAAAACACAAGTACATATCAATATTAAAACAGGAAAATATTAAACCAAATATAATCAAAATGCCATTATGATCACAAACACTAATAAGACTACACAATGAAGCTTAATTCTCTAGGGACGTATGGAGGGCTTTGTGTACGCTCTGGTGGGTATGAAGATGTACTACTATTTAATAACATGATAACAATGCGTACATAATGTTAAGCGTTCTAAAAAGCTTAACCGCACAGTGAGATTTGAAACAACATCATCCAAGCTTTTTTTAATTACTTACAGGTGTGTGTGTGTGTGTGTGTGTGTGTGTGTGTGTGTGTGTGTGTGTGCTGGCTCCAAGGTGGAATGAGTAACAAATAAGTGTAAAATAACACATCATCATCAGTGGATTTAAAAACGCTACATAAGTCACCTACTTAATGGTCGTTCATAAAGGAAGGGTTTTGAAATGCTCTGGGCAGTCAGTCGTTTAGTCATTTAACATAGAATAATACTATTGCAGGCAGGGAATACTGTACTCCACCTCTGTGAATTAATGCACTGTATACGTGTTACCATCAGAGAGTAACGTATCGCTCTGCATCACCGTAACAGCCACAAGAGTTGTTATCGATGTTATGATTTGATTCATTATTTATTCATGGATAGATTTTTGTTTCTTTAGCTTTAACAATTGTGTTTTA